ACAACTGCTCAGCAGTGACCACCAAAGCCCACCACCCACAAAAAATGCCTGCAGGATTTGGAAATTTGGACTGTGAGAAACTGAAATCTTAATGGCTAATGAATCAAAATAATCAGCCTTTCCATAAGGCCAGGCTTGCACACTCTCCCCCCACTCACTGAGGGGAATGAGGACACATTTTGGGTGCGTGGTGGAGAAGCCTCTGGTCCACATAATCCACTCCTGGAAGTTACAAGTTGGGTTTTGAGCCAAATAAGAAGCAAACCCTGCAGAGGCAGGATGGTGCTTTCCATAATGCCAATTATCCTCCCTTAAACAACTGGCTCAGCTGTAAAACTCTTCCTCTCACTCCCCCCATCCCAGCAGGTCAAATTCACACAGGACAYTCACATTCACAGATAGGCTTGAGGGTATTCAGCCCTCCTGATGGGACATAACTGGCTCAACTACGCTGATGTGTCATGTCTTAGAAGGTGTCATAAACCATCAAAAACCCCCAAAGCTCCCCCAGACTCATTTCTGGGGCCTTCCACCCGAGGCCTGTGCAAGATCCACYRTGTTGCAAAAGGAAGTGTAAAACTCTCCCCTCGAGGGGAGGTGCTTGCTCCCATGTTTTGCAGGACCCCAAGAAGCCAGAATGAAGAGGGCACACTCAATGCTGTCTGGATCCTTGCAGTGGTGACTCTCTTTCTACATGATCTGTCTCTTTCTCACTCTCTTTTCCCCCCTCTCTCCCCTCTTTCCTGTTTCTTCCTCTCTCTGTCTCACATTACTGTTAAATAAAATCAATACTATTGACTTCAGCATATGGTCTCATTTGCACCTTAATTCAGGTAGAAGTACCTCTAGTAATCAGATCTTAACAAGTACAATAAACTAAAAGTCTGACTGTGAACCTTTTCTTTCCTTTGGGGAACATTTTTTCACATAAGTAATCTCATTTGTTTACACTGGGACACTACACATTCCAAAGGCAAGTGTCAGAAGAGAGTAGTCCAGCTGGAGCTGTGCATGAGATGACAGGCTGTGAACTGTAGTTTATTAATTAATTTTGGCAATGTGACCCAATAAGTGCAAAATAATAGTAATGTGAAATATGATACGTAAAATGTGACTAACAGCACTTATTCTGTGAATCTAATCTCAGGGAAAGCAACAACGAGGGATGCTCAGCATCCCAGGACATGCATGGTTAACCTCAGCTAACCAGGTCAATATTCCTGTGTTCTCTCTCATGTCGATGGGGAAGGATAAACACATTCAGACCATTATTCTAGAGCAAAATTCCAATTTTTCCTATTTTTATGTACTCCTAAGGACTTTTTGTGTCTTCCTCTCACTGCATACGTTACAGGAGGACACTTAAACTTAGAAAAGCACCTCTTGTAAGTACATATCACAGAGCTGTCGCTAAAAGTAAATTCTAGTATATAAATTAATCTACATTGTAGAAGAATCTACATGTTGAATATCAAGATAAAATATATAGGTTGACATCAATAATACAAAGAGGATGCAAATGACGCACATATTCAGTGGCCCTTTTTTTTTATAAATAGCAAACAAATGCAGAAATCAATAGCCACTACTCTGGAAAGTTCAAAAATAATTGTATCAGCACAGGGAAGAAGGCCAAGGGTCCAGGCATGAGGTTGTCACAAGTTGCCCAAGGCTCTCTGGGGCTGGTGCTGCACTGCCCTGGGAGTCAGCCCAGTCGATTCTGGGGGAAGGGGAGGGCGATGGGGAGCCTGAGGCCCACGAAAGGTACTCAGTGACTCCTGTTTTTTGACATAGCCAAAGTGTCAACTGTGTAGACCAATTACATGAGGCTCTTTGCCCTAAGGAGCAGAGGAAGAACGGTGGCTGACTTTATGTTATACTATAAAAGCAGCCTTTCTTGAAAAGATTGCAGCATGGCTGCATAATGTGATATCAATTCCCAYCCCTGTGCCCATTTCCGTGTTTGTCTTCACAGGCAATGCAGACTTCTGTTTCAACATTGCTGTGTACAGGTTCACAACCAACATGAAATAAAAAAAATAAAAAAAAAAAACCTCACCTCAGTCCTGCCCTTGACACAGGCACGTTTAGTTAGTACAGTAACTGAATTATTCCCTCATACGCAATATATCCTAATAATAGCATACTGCTCTGACTAACAAACAGGTTTATTTTATTGCCATGATTTCTGGCTTTCTCAGGGTCTTTAAAAATAYGAATTAAAACATTTCATTCCAAGAGTGGTCAAAAAATATTACTACTTCAATGCAATATTGCAAGTAGTAAAYAATTTCACATATGAAAATTAATCTCTCTGCTTGCTTAGATAAACACATATTGCAAACTAAAATCACAAATGTGATAGGAAAATCTCTRTCTCTAAATGATAGCTCTGCCTGCCCTCAACTCATAACAGAGATACTGGTACAAGGAAATCTTCTGGTTTCATGCAAATATCAGTAAAAATGACATTGCAGGGGTGCAGGACATCARCAGAGAGAGGAGAGAAAATCTCTATTACCATCCTCCCAATAGGCAGTCCTGTGTGAACCTCATACAGCTCAGCTAGGCTAAGTGCAAGATGCTGTACCTGGGTCAGGGCAAGCTGAAGCGTAAGATTGGGATGGGAAGAGAATGAATTGAAGGAAGCTCTGAGATTTGGGGTAGGTCTGGGTGGATGAGGGGTTGGAYATGACTCAGCAATGTGCACTCATGTCCTGGAAAGCCAGCTGTACCCTGGGCTGCATGAAAGGAGACTGACCAGCAGGTTGAGGGAGAYGATTCTGCCCCTCTACTCCACTCKGGGGTGTTGCGTCCAGCTCTGGAGTCTTCAGTACAGGATGTACACTGACCTGCTGGAATGAGCCCCAAGGAGGGCCATGAAGATAATCACTGGAACACCTCTCCAATGAGGACAGGCTGAGAGACCCTAGGGTGCACAGTCTGGGGAAGAGAAGGCTTCAGGGAGACCTTATAGCACTTTCCAGTACCTAAAGGGAGACTTGCAGAGAACTGGAGAGGGAATTTATACAAGGGTATGCAGCGATAGGACAAGGAGGAGTGGCTTTAAATTGACAGATGGTAGGTTTGTATTAGATACTGGATATCAAGAAAAAAAATCTTTACTGTGAGGATGATGAGACACCAGAACAGAGAAATTTTGGTACTCCTTCCCTGCAAGTGTGCAATGCCAGACTGGATGGAGCATTGAGCARCCTTTTCTAGTGAAAGATGTCCATGGAAGGGTGTTGGAACCAGATGGTCTTTAAGGCTCCTTCCAACCCAAAGCTGTGTTTCGATGATTCTGTTACATGGGATATGCAGCATTGATTCTGGGCATACTGACTTCATTTGGATGCTTGCTCGGTACCAGCTTCAGAGAAAAATACAACTCCAATCTGGCATCAGCTTCATTGTCCTGATGGAATGGGACTTTCTCTGAGGAAGCAGAGATTGTCTGGGCAAGGACTTCCTTGAAGCTTAGTCTGAGACAGCTGAGAYACATGAAGTCTCTAAGGTCTACAGAAAACGTCAACACATTCATCTTCAAGTGCAAGGCGTAAATCTTTCCATCTGCCTTCTCTAACAGGAACACAAAATAACATGCACAATTAAAGAAAGAGGAGAAAAAAGACTCACATACTTTCCAGCCCACGTATATATAACTGAATTTCTAGGATGGTCYGACTGTAATGGTGGTAGAAACTAAGTAAAGACAGAGAGCTGCAGTTCAGGGTTGGGTCCATGGCCACACAACTGGCACCCTTGGACACCTTCACAGGTGGCTCGAGATACCTCCTGCCCTGAGAAGCCTTTATGCAGTGGGCAGACCACCGTCCCTGAGCCAGGACAGAGCCATAAGTCAAGCCCCAAAAATGATGCTTTTGGATTAAAAAAACAGTCGTCTTGAGGCTTATGATAATTTTATCACATTCTAAAAACCCTAACAATTATTTTCCTAGTTTCCACTGCATCATCATTGACTTGGATGATAGGACTGACTGCWGGGGCAAATGAAGGTAACAAATCAATCCTAGGAACAGCATATATACTGTAYTCCTGGCAGCCACCTCTTAGAATAGGATTTGCACTAAGTGAGCTCATACAGCTCCAAACAGAAGATAAATCCATGCAAACAAAAAACCAAAGCCAAAGCCAAACCACAGCCCCACATATACACACCCCTTATCCCAACTTGCAGTTCTTTAATCAACATGCGAAGGAATGTAGGGTCCTTCACGGTAAATAAACCAATGACACCTTGTAGCTTTCAGGGWAGCCAATAAGGAGAGGGACACTGGCAGTGTCAAAGTCCCCCCTCCCGAGTCACCAGATCTCTGTCCTGCAGCACATTCTTGGCTTTGCTGCTCTGGTGCACAGATATGATCCCAGAATTCTCCTACACGCTTGAGAAGGAGGATTGATAAAATTGCATACTCTGCAATGTAAATAGAGGTAATCATTTTTTGTTAAGTTGAAACTTACCATCAGGAAAGGAAATAAAAGTGCAATAAAAGAAAGCAAAACAAGCTATCACAGAAAGTATTTCACTGCCATGGACAGTTGAGCTTAAGGCAATGCATGCTTTCACTGGTTTGGTATGTTCTGAAGGAGGAAGAAGTTTACAAGCTTGTCCTGCTCACCATGTGACCCAGTGGAGGATGCTCCACCCTGCCTCGCAGCAATGAAGAGCTGCCCTGCCAAGCTTCGTGCTCAGATTTCCTCACCAGCTCCTCCAGGACTGAGAGCACATCACAGCTTCCCCATTTCTCTCCTCTGTAGGCTGTCAGTGTTTTGGAGCTTGGTTTCTTTTTACCCCCTCCTTTTTCTCTGTATTCCAAATAACTTCTCATTCTTTCTTAGGGGATATATAAAACCAGTTTTAATGGTTTATTCCTCAAGCATAAGGGACTACCAGATAAAATAATGCAAACTAAGGAACATAGGCCAAGTATCTGTCCCAATACTCAAAGTGAGTTTCACCATAGACTGCTAAGGGACTTGGACTTGGCCCTATTTCTGCAGATATGGAAAACATTAGTGAAGCTTTAGAACATGCCTGGGGCTCCATCCTAACCTCTGCTGAGCAGCTATAGGAAAAATGTAGRAAACATAAATTTCTCCTCTGCTTGTGAGCCAGGGCAGGAGTCTTGTCCAAGGAACCATCTGTGACAGCACATTTAAAGGCACTGTGCATTTTCCAAGTTATCACAAGATGTGAATGCAGCCCCCAGCAGCAAATAGGGAAAGGTGGGCTCCTCATGGAGCAGCACAGCACACCCCATAGAGGTTTGCTGCCAGGGCACGCAGTCCTGGTGGAAGCTCACAGTATTTCCAAGGCACAGGAAACATTATTAGGCTGTGCTCATTCTCGTCTCTTGTACAAGCGAAGCATTTGAGCTTGTACTTCATAATTAATAGCGGTGATTTATTCTCTCATTACCATCACAGAAGCTTAATCAAGAGAAAGGTCATAAAGAAAGTCCAAACTTCTACACATTGTAAAAGTCTGGCTTGAGCATGAKCATTCTGATACACATTAGAAGAGCTTCTTTTCTCCATCTTCTGAGCAGAAATAGGCTGTTAAAGGAGAGAGTCTAATGAACTTCATCTTCACTTTGCCTTCTCTCACAAAGACTGGGATATGTCAAATCAAGTCACCAAAGCAGAGTCCAGGATCATGATTTTCATTTTTCTGAAAAATAGAACAGATGGAAGGCCAAATAACCACATTTATTCCTTTTTTTCTGATTTTCTATCATGAGTGTGTAAGAGGTTAAACATGATCTTCCTTCTGTTGTTAACTGGTTCAATTTTAAAGAGTTTGATATGACATTCTCATAATATTGTGTGTGAGACTGAAAACTCAGCTAAGCAATAGGACAAAAATCCACTGCAGAGTGTRCACGTAACTGCAACAACTGTAAGAGTTAAAAGAAGATGAGAATTACAACAGTGTAATGCAATTTTGCTATGGGAGGGAGGTTAAAATCTCTCCATATGGTTTGGTCTTATTTTAGAGCATGATGCATATAGACATTGTAATTTCATACACAAGTGAAAAGGGTGATTTCTGCATAACAATATGTCACTTCCTTCCATCCCAGGCTATTCTGTATTCTGACCATTGTGGCATGACCTTTCTGGTGCTGAAAGCAAGAAGCTCCCTGATAGCACGTGTGAAGGGTTTAGCTGTGTTTGGTGTTCAGTATAAAGATCCAGGCATGTCATTTTGCCATGGCAAATTTAGAGTGAAAGAATGGATTAGTCATGGCAAAAATGCTAAGTATAGATGAAACTCAGCAGAAGAAACAAGCTTGTTTTCCAGTGGCTCTGTGAGGCTCATGTCATTCTGTTTCTCAGAGAGAGTTTTGCTGATGATTAGTTTTCTTTGTATTTTGCTTTTAAACAYGAGGCTAGGTAAGTGTTTGATGGATGAAGCAATGCTGAATTTGAAGGTGAGTAAAGACCACCATAAGATTAGTGTCGTTCTGTAAAGATAAAACACACTTWTTATTCACATCCATGGTATCTCAAAATTCTAGCCAGGGAGCAGAATGTTTTGTAATGGATCACAAAGACCCTCAAAAGCTTAGAAATGAGGTTTGAGGTGAGAAAGAGCACATGGCTTCAAGAAGATAGTCACAGGAGTATGAAAAAGCAGTATCATGGACCCTGCTCCTCACAAAAATTTCCAGCAGACAAGCAGTCTACTCTTCAAAAACATTGCATGGTACAGAAAGGGAAAWACAGAAGGAATATTTTAAAGGAGAACAACGAAGCAAAAAATTGTGAATGCTTCTAGTTCAAAGCAATAATGAGCCAGAAATAACTCCAGATAAATGCAGACCACAATGATTTGCAGCATGGTACCTGTGACCTGACATGGCCTGAGACCTGAGCAGCCACAATTACCTTCAGCTGATATAAGRGGGAAGTTCTATTCAACTTCTTGGATAAAGGTCAAGACTCTCCAAGGCAAGCAAATTCACTGGAACCAGTGAAACCATCAAATTTAGTGTTGTTAATAGGGGCAAGGCTCCCACTTTCCTGTTGTGAAGTTTACTTTCTATTTGGGTATTCCATGCACAAAATACCCTTCATGAAAATCATGGAGTTACACTGTTTGATTTTGCTYTGGGAGATTAGAGCAAAATGCTAAATGTGAAATTTCTACTCTCAATACTTTACTTGTCTTCTTTTGGGTTTGGATGTTTTTCTAAAGAGAACTCTGATTTTTAGGTTGAGATTTTAAACACACAGAAGTCTGGAAATTCTAAGCTGCTGTTACCACAGCAACTGAAATTACATMCACCAATTAAAGACTGTAACAACCACAGGGAGAAATACCAATTCTTATGTCAGGAGTCCTCATTCTAACTAATAAGAATATTTTCTTGAGTTTTTGTATGTTTATGTGAATAGAAACAAATATGCAAGTAATGGTACTTCTCCAAACCAAAACTTTTCCAATTAAATTACCATATCAACTTTTTATTGTAGATATTTTTTCCTTTGCTTTCTACATTACCCTTGATTTTGGACTTTACAGATAATAGCAATTTTCCCCCAAAACTGGAAATCTAAACATAGGAAAATATTTTATATGGAATATTAAACAATGAGATAATTTAGATTCTAATTACTTGTGGTTTATTTGTGCACATCTTACTGAAGAACTTGTGTAACACTGAAACTTTGGAAACTTTGGCTCTTCCTTAGACCAAACTCATATATAAGAACTGACGCCGGGTTGATTAATTTGTTTCATAGTGGTTGTCATCAGTTTATCATCCTGTGCATAGAACTGGTAGACAGTTATGATTTTAAAAAATTACTCCTATATCTCAAAAATTGGAATACAATTTTTTTGACAAAGAAACAAGAGCAGGACTTGTCTCACTAAATCAGCCTCTGGAAGAGCATGTCCTTCTCCGTTAACCATAAGAGGAACTGGCTGACACACTGGGACATAATTTTTACCAATTAAATTTAGGTGAGATTAATTCCTTTTTATAAGAATGATGCTCTACTTATTTTTTTGCCATTGGAAGCAAAGTCTGCTTGAAAGTGACCTCTGAGACTGGCCTCTCCTTGCAGCCCCAGGAGAGCTGATGGGCTTTAAACAAAGTTGAAGCACCAGGACATTATGACAACCCACAAGTGAGCATTTGAAGTTCCYATTACCTGTTCTATAAAATGTRAAGGGAAAAAWAGGTTTAMTTTTCAGGACCTTTAAGCTAATTAATATGGTGMCTCTTGTGAGGCACCACAGAAGGTGTGTGCTGGTGAGAAGGATCACCTAGCTCACTTCAAGCAGTGTGATATCCCCCCACAGCGCCTTGCAGAGTACAGCAGCGTGTGCTCCTTCATTTTCTGTGTATGGAGACACTGCCTGCAAGAGGGGGGACAGGCCACAACTGAGCTGTTAAAGCTGCTGAGTACTGCAGGCTTTGCCTTAATAGATTTGAGCTTTCCACTGTCATAACTGAAGGAGAAAAATGGGTTTTTAAATGGGGATCAGTGATAAATAATAAATGTTAACATTTCAAAGCAAATTATTAATCAGTCAGAGGAGGCAATGTCTCTAGGTTTCAAACACAAAGWATTAATAGATTTCAAAGCCAGGAATGTATTTCTGAAAATGATAGGGTTTGGCATCCACCAGTATTTCATTCAATTTGTCCTTTCAAAGTGTTTTTTCTTTCTGTAACATGAACTGATACAAGAAATCAAAACCTTGTAAAATAACTGCAGTTATGTAAAATTTGCTAATGTTCAGCCACTGCTTCCCRAATTTATGGTTCATCACATCTACTCAGTTTCTAGTAACATGTTTATTTATACTCCTTGGGGAAACACTTGTGCCTCCTGATCAAATAAATCCAATAAAATCAATTTCACGTGCAAATCACAGAAACCATGGAAGCTATTTCACTTCCAAACCGTTTGAACCCTTAAGGTGCCATGCAACATGATGCCAGTCTGCACTTTGAAGTATTGCTCATGAGATTTCCAAGAAGTTGGTGATCCTCTGGGTGGATATTCAGCACTATCTAATGGCTGGCAGTGTTACCTGTTGCTGATGGGAAACATCATTTGCTCTTCAATCTTTTTTTTGTGGTTATCCTGGAGCAAAAGAAAATCATACAAACAAAACCACACACAGACAGTAGATAAGCAAACACATACAGGCTGTAAGATAACTCACACCCTGTGTTTAAACTGTGCCCATCTTTTATCTCTCCCACCACCTATGCTTTTTCATCCACACAGATGCACACCTGAGGAGAGCAGTCATCACACTTATCTTCATTCATCTAAACATTGTCTAGTCTAAACTGATTATCTGGGTTCCCTCCAGAGTTTGTGCAGGGAGAAAAAGGAAGTGGCAGGCACATCCAGATAACAATTTACTCACCTGCATTAAAGAGTCAGGATGAGATGAATCAGCTTTAGAAATGCTCCTCTCTCTCCTTTGCCTGCAGATGGAACATAGACAACCTGGAGAAGATAACTGATAAAGTTAGGTATGGTGATTCACACTTCGCTGGTAGGTAACTGCTTTTGCAGATGGTGTTACCTTTGTTGGGATTTATCATGCTAGAAGCAAATCTTTCACTAAGACAAGTGAGCAGAGCAGTTGGAATCTAATCTGAGCTCAGACTGCACCTTTTTGTTAGTGAGAAAGCGTTAGGAAATCATCTTCAAGTTTTCATGCACCAACATGTTTTCTGCTTCAGGTTAGAACTGGAAGTGGTGAAATAGCACAACACAATCAGCCTTGGCTCTGCTTCAAAGCAGCTCCCAGGGTCTTTTTCCCAGGCTGAAAAAGTAAAGGATGTTGAATAGTTCAGTCAAATTTTGAGCAACAGTCCACACTTTGAGGTTCAGCAAATGGAGCAGAGCACTTGTGAGATTCTTCATGGTCAAAGATGGCCTAAACACTGTTTGGAGCTGCAGAGTAGTACAGCGAAGAGCAGACCAGCTACAGTGCAAGAYAAGGCACATAGAGAACACAAGCCTCAGTGCATTAACTCTGTGTAATTCATGGACTTAGTCATTATTTACTACAGCTCTAAAGAGGCTACCAACAGCCCCCTCAGGAATTAGCACTCGCTCTGCACTCGTAGCAGTAACATTCATCCAGTTAAAGCCCAATATACCTCTCAGAGAAGATGAAGCAGTGTTATGGAGATGGAGAGTTGTTTAATATGTGGCCCCACGCTCCACACTATTCAAACACTTTCTGGAGAGAGGACTGCTCCTTTCTGCCTGCAGTTCCAGCCAGTGCTCAGTACTGGGGAGCTGAACACATTGCAGCAGCAGCACACAGRTATAAAGGTCAAAATCTCCACTATCCTTGAGTGCCCACTCTAMGGTAGCTATCACCTGATATTTTCAGAAGACACAGCACTATGCAGAATTTGCCATATAAAAGAAACAAATTTTGTCAATTTAACTCATGACAGTAAATCCACAGGACTTTTTCAAAAAGCAGACCTTGAATGCTTTATCCTAGCTGAAATTTTAAAAAATGGGGATTTTTTTAAAAATTTTTTAATTCATGAGCTGCTGTAAGAGGCTTGGTTTAAATGTTTTGCTTAGCATGAAAAGATARCATTATGGAATAGAGAGAGATTTCTTTGTATCATTAGATAAATGACTTCATTACAAATCTTTCCTTTTACTGCAGCTGATGCTTTTTTTTTCCTTCCATTTCTGCAAAGGTCCTATGAAAAATACTTCATTAGACAAACCTTTTTTTTTTTTTTTTAGATTACACTCCTTAGACTATCCACTCCTTAGACTATCCACTATTTTAAACGTGAAGCTGAAGAACAGTTCAAGACCTTACCTATAATATTTTGAAATTCTGCTTTGCAAATTTTCATGAAAATAGAGTCCTGTGGTTGTTTGGAGATTTTTTTTCTTATATGTCTCCTGTTCCAGACAGAGAAGACACTCTCAAATGTGACTATCTAGCTTTTCAAAACTTTTCATTGTCCCTTTCTTCTTTCACGCTTCAAAATCCTTCAATAATTCATGTTGTCTTTCTCCTTGATTCAATGCCATCTAAAMTCTACCTCTTTGGGTTCAAAACAATCCCTCTTCATTTAAGAGCAAAAGTAAAGTTTCTCAAGACAATTGGTTCAAGAATCACAGTTCTGCAATTTAATATCAGGTCTCCCTTTAAATTAATTGTCATTGTACCATTTGGGTTAAGAGTTTCAGAGGCKGAGCCATACAATTCACACTGTCCAATTACCTTAAGCGGTATTRAATAAAATCCTGAAATTTTGTAAAACTGAGCGAAATTTCAAGGTTCAACTTAAAGATGAAAAGGCTCCCTTGTCCCAGTCTGATGTGAGGGCTCTTGGGCTGATGATCATCTAAATTTGTAGATGAAGAGGACTGTAGGCTGCTTAATGAGAAGTGGGGTGTCCATGGCATACTCTGGTCACCTTTATACTAACAAAGCTGACTTATGCCCTGATGGGTATCACTGCTACCAGTGACCAGTTGGAAGAAAAGGTGGAAATTGATTTCCAGCTTCAGTTCTGTTTTCTAAAGAAAAGATATTTCTAGCCTCTTGCTTTGTGATTAAGCCTTCGACGTGCAAGCTGCTAGAAAAACTGATGTAACCAGATTGTCAGGATGGAAAGAAACAAGCAGCTGGGATCCCCATCTGCTGCGGTAAGAAGCTAAACTAAAAATCCTCCCAACATACTCATTTGAGGTAAAATGAGTCAATAAAAATGTATTTTTATCCATAGAAGARCCCTAAAAATTCTCTACTTTTCCTCTGCTTYCCYTTTCCCTACCCCTTTAYAACACACTAAAAGWRCTATTATCCAATAAGGACAAGCTTTTTAACCAAATCCATGGTCTGCTCTATGAGCAAAATCCAGATCACGTAATTGATGTTTAATGTCAAGGGCATAATTTGCCTCATTGTCATCAGTAATACTGAAGAAATGTGTCAATTGTGGTGTTTCCTCTGGCCTGTCAACAGTTCCCTCAATTGCCACTCCAGGATGATGGAGTCCTTGGTGTCAATGAAGCAGTATTAGGGCATTCAGGGCAGCCTCTTTCTCTCAAATGCTAGTCAGAAAAACAAATAAATGGCAACACACACTTCCACTGACTGTGRCTGCAAAACTGAGAAACAGGGAATTTAGTTTTAAACCATAATTTGAAATATAATAGAAGATTGATTCAGAGAGGAGATATCATTTCATTTTAGGATAGAAAAAGAACAAAGACCAGGAAGAAATTGAGAGTTTAAATATGTGTCATTAAAAACAAAAAAAAAGTCTTGACATATCAATAAATTTAATATCAATAAATTTAAAACCTTCCTGGCTTTCTTATTTAAATTTCTTTCTTTTTTAACATAAATAATATATTTAGGTTATATTCCTTTTTATTATATTTTTTATTTGATTCCTTCTATGTTATTTTTATGATTTTTCCTAATTAAAATATTTTATTCTGTAAGTATAAACTACTACTGATTTTCTACTTCTTGATCTTGTTTTTATGTTCTTTCTTTCTTCTGTAATCATTGCATTTTTTTTATATTTGAAAGTTCAGCACAAATAAGGGAGCAATGCCTGAGATTTTCTTTTTCTAATGGAAGCTTAGAAAGGAGGATATTTAACTTAAAATTAGTTATGAATATTAAGATATTAACCAGAATTATAATTTGGTTACTYCATATGCCTATATAAGATTACACCAAAATGCTTATGACAGGGGGAAAAACAATTTTCTTCAGGTAAGTCACTTTCTAATGGGAAGCATTATTATTTTAACACAAAAAGCATTTTAATTGAAGCAATTATAATATACAAAGACCTTCACCATGCTCCTTAGGTCTCAAAACAGAATTTCTATTTGTTTGATAAATAGAGAAAAGCCGAGAAAGAATACAAGATAGGAACAAGGGAGGAAAGTARAGAGGGCATCTTCAAGGTACATAAAGCTTTATAAAGCAAACAAAAGAAAACAAAGATGCCTGAGCCACCTTGGTTTGAGGAGTCCTGGATTTAAAGACAGGGTTCTCCCAAACAGCTTCTCTTATGAGAAGAGAAAAAAAAAATTAAAAAAAATAAAAAATAAAAAATAAAAAAATAAAATAATAAAAAAAAGTAGTTATCCACACATATCCTATCAGTGTACTAGATGTTATCACCAACTCACATCAGATACAAATGATGTCTGTAAGATTATGGCATTATTTTTAACTTCATAAGCATCAGACTAACATGGTTCCATGGAGGATGCACTGATACTGAAACTATTATTTCAGTATAGTTCAAAGTATTGATATATTTCTGCTCTTTCATGCATTCCTCATAATGTTCTTCCCGAAGGGGTGCCATTTCCCCTCTCTTACCCTTTATGCAACAACTTCAGCTAAACACCTTGCTCAGATACTTTCTACTTGAAGGAAAGTTTAAGGGCCAGCACTTTGCATGTATTCATCAGTCCTGACCCAACATCAGGAGAATTCCCAGGGTACAGGCTTAGCAGGGCACAGAGGGTGCATTGCCAGGCACCAAAAGCCACGAGCTCTGCCCTAGGGTTGGATGTGCTGGGGGAGTGGGAGCCATCAGCAGTGAGCCCGTGTCTCCACTCCAGCACTGTTTTTGGTGCCACACAGCCCACCAGCCCCTTGACAAAATCATAGCCAATGAGCACATCTTGAAGGACAAACTGACAAAAAAATAAAAATTAAAAAAAAAAAAAAAAAACCCAACAAGGCTGCACTACACCATGGCTTATTTGTTCTGGCAAAAGTAAGTTTAAGGGGTATAAATAGCAAGCAGAATTCTGCTCTCTAGCATTGAAGGCAAACTGAGGGGTTTGTTGGTTTTTTTTTTATTTTATTTTTTTTTTATTTTTTAAAGCTCCCTTCTGATTTGGTGCATGAATTATCACCTCTAATAGCTGATAATTAAACCACTTCAGCAAAGCTGTGAAATAGAGAGGACGAGCAATAAAATCACAATCTCACCTGGCAATTATTTTGAAATGATGCTCCAAATAAGCAGATAAATAAATCTGTGTACGTCACAGGCAATTCTCTGCAGGCTGACAATTCCATAAATAAACACACACACAGATGCACATATCCATAACCATATCTATGTGTATAACCTTCAGTGAAATATGGAATAAGTCTTTAAATTAATTCCACAACCAAGGAGTATATGATAAAACYAGAGGCTTACTGAATAACCTCTCTTGAACACTCTGTGACTGGTTCAAGAACAAGATTCATAAAGCCAGATAAAAAAAAGCTAATAAGCAGATATTTTTCATTTATSAAATCTGAAAATCTATCTGGTGATCCTGCTTATTGTTCTGTTTTGGAAGTAAAACAAACTGTTCTAGGGACAAGTATTGATTTCACCATTAAAAGAAAACTATCCATTCATAAATATTAACTGATGATATTATCTCTTTCTATGACTGCCTTATTATAGGCAACAAAA